CCAGACAAGGTTGTCCTCTATTGCCACTTTGATTCAACATAGTGCTGAAAGTTTTAGCCAATACAATCGGGCAAGAGAAGAAAATAAAGGACATCCAAATGGGAGCAAAGGAGGTCAAACTCTCCTTCTTTGCTGACGATATGATCTTATACTTTGAGAACCTCAAAAACTCAACCAGAAGATTCCTGGAAGCCATCAAAAAATACAGTAATATCTGAGGATATAAAATCAATGTACACAAGTCAGTAGCCTTTGTATATGCCAATAATAGCCAAGAAGAGAGGCTAATTAAGGACACAACTCCCTTCACCATAGCTTTATCCTTTCTTTCTTTCTTTCTTTCTTTTTTTAATTAAATCATAGCTGTATACTACCTAGGAATATACCTAACATAAGAAGTGAAGGACCTCTGTAAAGAAAATTATGAAACCCTAAGAAAAGAAATAGCAGAGGATATTAACAAATGGAAGAACATACCATGCTCATGGTTGGGAAGAATCAACATTGTTAAAATGTCTATACTAACCAAAGCAATCTACTGATTCATTGCCATACTATTAAAATACCAACATCAAGACTTGGAAAAAAAATGATTATTCATTTTGTATGGACCCAGAAAAAACCCTGTATAGCTAGGAAAGTTCTTAGTAATAAAAACAAAGCTGGGGGCATCAGCATACCAGACTTTAGGCTGTACTACAAGGCCGTAGGGGTCAAAACAGCATGGTACTGGCACAAAAATAGAGACATAGACATTTGGAATCAAATAGAAAACCAGGAAATGAAACTAACATCTTACTTCTACCTAATTTTCCATAAACCAAATAAGAACATACACTGGAGGAAAGACCCCCTATTCAATAATTGGTGCTGGGAGAACTCGATATCCACATGTAAAAGACTGGAACTGGACCCATACCTTTCTCCACTCACAAAAATTGATTCAAGATGAATAAAAGACCTAAATTTAAGGCATGAAATTATAAAAATCCTCAAAGACAGCATAGGAAAAACACTTGAAGATATCGGCCTGGGGAAGGACTTTGTGAAGAAGACTTTCGTGGCAATTGCAACAGCAACAAACATAAACAAATGGGACTTAATTAAACTGAAAAGCTTCTGTACAGATAAGGAGATACCAACCAAAGCAAATAGACAACCTACACAACGGGAAAGGCTATTTGCGTATTTTGAATCAGACAAAAGCTTGATAACTAGGATCTATAGAGAACTCAAATTAATTCACATGTAAAAAGCCAACAATCTTATATATCAATAGGCAAGAGAGATGAATAGAACCTTCTTTAAAGAAGACAGACGAATGGCTTGTGAACATATGAAAAAATGGTCATAGTCCCTAATTATTAGATAAATGCAAATCAAAACCACCCTGAGATATCATCTAACCCCAGCAAGAATGGCCCACATCACAAAAATCTCAAAACTGCAGATGCTGGCGTGGATATGGACAGAAAGGAACACTTTTACACTGCTGGTGGAACTGTAAACTGATACAGCCTCTTTGGAAGGAAGTATGGAGAACCCTCAAAGAACTCAAGATAGACCTCCCATTAGATCCTGCAATCCCTTTACTGGGCATCTACACAGAAGGAAAAAAATCCTTTTATCACAAGGACACTTGCACTAGCTTGTTTATCAATTTACAATTGCCAAAATGTGGAAACAGCCTAAATGCCCAC